CCTCCCTCAGGTGCTGCCCGGAGCTTCCGGCTTCCGTGCCAGGAGTCCCCCGGCGCCTCCGGATGAAACAGCTCGGAAATGAGCTCCGACAATGGAATAAATCAATCTTCTTTATAGAGTTGTTGTTCATGTGAATGTAATTAGATTCTCGCACGCCTCGCTTCAATTTTTTAAAACCCAATAGGATCGAGGGGGAGGCCTTTTCCCTCGTTTTTTATTTCTTCGTTCTTGTGGGAGAAGTACAACGTGCTAATGGTTTTCTTCTGGTTTAATAAAGAAACAGTAACAAACATCTACACCTTCGGGAGAACAAGGAGGCACATTTGAGTATTGTCGCCAGGGCAGCACACAGCGAACTCGTTCGGACGCCTTGTCGGGAAGACAAAGGTCACCTCTCAAGGCACAGGGACCCCGGAGCCCCTCACCTCCACGGGTCTTCATTCAAGTCTCTCACACCCTCCCTCCCCCACCTGGAGTTTCCCAGGTGAACGTCCCTCCTCCACCCCAGCACCATGTAAGGCTCACGTAAGAATTAAATGAGTGCCCTGGCCAGTGTGGCTCAGGAGTTGGGGCATGGTCCCATGCACCAAGAGGTTGCCGGTTTGATTGCCAGCCGGGCACATGCCCAGATTGCAGGCTTGACCCCCAGTAGGGGGTGTGCAGGAGGCAGCCAATAGATGTTTCTATCTCTCTCTCCTCACTTCCCCTCTCTCTCTAAAATCAATAAAAAAAACTTTTTTTAAAAGAATTAAATGCGCCCAGCTGGTGTGGCTCAGTGGTTGAGCGTCGACCTCTGAACCAGGAGATCACGGTTGGATTCCCGATCAGGGCACACGCCCGGGTTGTGGGCTCAATCCCCAGTAGGGGGCGTGCAGGAGGCAGCTGATTCATCATTTTCTCTCATCATTGATGTTTCTCTCTCTCCCTTCGCCTCTGAAATCAATAAAAAATATTTTTCTAAAGAAAGAATTAAATGAGTTAAAATACTTATCATGCTTCTAATTGTGCCCGGCTCATAGCAACTCGTTACTTATATTTCATTGGATTTAAGACCCGTCGATGGCGAAATGCTCCCGTACTTTTTATCTACCAATAAGAAAGAAAAAACGCCGCCAATTAAACCGGCACGATGCTTTCTTATCTTTCTAACTTGTTTTATACTTATCGAAGGAGCGCTCTGGACTTAATTGGACGGGGGTTTATAGGCTATCACTTCTGTGCGCACATAAAAAGGAAGATACACGCCAAACAAATCAGTTCAGGGATCCGTGAAACTTCTGCGTGCGAAGTCCACGTGCTCTGATTTGATTTTCTACCACGAGCCATCGAGGCCCGAGCTTGTCCCCACATCGGCGTCCTGGGAGCCATGGGAGCCGTGGGGAACATGGGGTGCAGCTCTGGCCAGGAGAACCCGCAGAAGACGGAGACGCCGTGGCCACTGTTGGGCTCCACTGGCCTCGGGGTGAACCTGTGCCAAACAGCTCACTGGCCTGGTCCTCCACTTCCCTGGCCACCTGGCCACACCTTCCGTGTCCTGGGGCCAACGTGCTGTCCCCAGAATTGTCTCCCAGGCCCACGCCCGTCCGCAAGCACTGAGGCGGGGCAGGTGAATGAGTGGGTGGGTGGGTGAGCAGACGACCCGCCACCGGCACCAACACCGGGCCTGCGGGCCTGGTTCTGGCCCCGCAGAGCCCCCGCCCAGCTTCCCCGCCAGGATCTGACCTGGGGTGCGGCGAGGCGCCCGTGCTGGGGAAGAGTAAACGTATCGCGCAGACGCCTTTGCGAGAGTGTAAATCTCTTCCCAGCGAGGGATTGACTCTTCTCCTGCGACACGGTGTTTGCAAACTTCCCTGCCGTCCTGATCAGCGCTGTGAGGTAGCAGTTGGCACAGCGTGGGCCGAGGAAGGGGATCTATTTTCCCAGCTAATAAGGTTTATTTTTACTCCGGCTGAATAATACATGATCAGTGTCAAAGGAAATTACAGTCCTTCCGTTACACGCGCGCTGCCCCGCGCCGCACCTGTGCGCCTCCCCTCCCCCCCCTCCTGCCAGTCACCCCTGGAGGCAGGAGAGAAGATGCATGGGCGCCGGGGGACCTGCGCTTCTGAGGGCGCGCTGCATTCGGAACGGTTCTGGGACGATATAAAATGGAACAGCTCCGATCCCAGCCCACGCCGGTGTGCGCGCCTGCGGTAAATAAAAACAGTAAGCGATTTGTCTAAGTGCTTGATTTTTCCCATCAGCGGTTTATTCTACTACATTTCTGTAAAGGCCCATTTTTCCAGCTTTGGGGGAAATATATATATAGCCGCTATCCACTGAGCTGAGACGGAGGGAGAAGCCGTGTGTGGGGCGGCCCTGCTCGCCTCCCTACCAATCCCTGAGCCTCAGTTCCCCGCTCCACCTCCCACAGGGGGGCGGGGGGAACACTGCCATTTCCCAAAAGGCCACTTTCCAAGCCGAAAAGGAGGGAAGGGGCGCGAGCAAGCCCATGGCTGCCGGGCTTGACGACGTCTCTGGACCACAGCAGCGGGAGTCACACCAGCGCCATCAGGCGACATCGACACGTTGGTTAGGCACCAGCCAGGAGGCAAGCGCTGGGCCGTGAGGGCAGGAGAGCCTTTCTGGGTGTAAAGACCAGAGGGCGAGCCTGGCCTGGAAGCCCTGTGTCCCGCACCCGAGGCCATCGCGGGTCTCCGGGGCCACGGAGCACCCCAGGACCTGGCGGTTCCCGGCAGGTGCGGCTGGGCTGCCCTCGTGGGTCGTGTACCTCTCCAGGTGGCCCTCGCCTGCTGGGATGACACACTGATAACAAAGGCAAGGAGTTGGGTGGCTCTACTTAAAAAAACAAACAAACACGTTTTGCCCTGCCCATGTGGCTCAGTGGTTGAGCATTGACCTATGAATCAGGAGGTCACGGTTTGATTCCCGGTCAGGGCACAGGCCCGGGTTGTGGGATCGATCCCAGTGGCCGGGTTGGGGGGGGGTGGGGGAATGGAGAATCAATGATTGGCTGCCTCCTGCATGCCCCACACTGGGGATCAAGCCCACAACCCGGGCCTGTGCCCTGACCGGGAATGGAACCCTGACCGCCTGGTTCCTGGGTCGATGCTCAACCACTGAGCCACGCCACCTGGCCGGGCTGTACTTTCCTTTTGACTTTCATAAATAAAGACAAGGACATGTTCCCACAGAGAGAAAACCACCGGTGACATCAGCAGCGAGCTGGAGAAGCATGTGGAGGGTGGAGGAGCCGCACGGGCCCCTCTCGCTCAGAGCAGCTTCCGGCTGCACGAAGGCCCGGCTCCCGCAGCCGCAGGCCCTGGGCCCTCACCACGGGGAGCACACGGGAGCACTTGCAACTGTTATTTCAGAAACTCAGGAAGCGATGGATCAGGCATTGGACAAGGTACCAGGTGGCCAAGTTGTCCCATGGTCTGGAGCTCAGATTATGCACTCTCCCTTCTCAGGAGCCAGATACCTGCAGCCCACACCTCCACGGCAGCCGACCACAGGGCGGGGGACTCTGCCCAAGTACTGAAAGGGGGTTGGGAATGCCCGCAGAGCTGAGACGCAGCAAGTGAGGCTGCTGCAGGGACAGAACTGTGAGGCGGACAGAGCGGAGCCCCTCCTGGCGCTCCCCCTGCAGCCTTCCCTTCGGTTGATGTTGACGTTGTTGATCTGCACCTGAAGATATCTTTCCATTGATTTTTAGAGAGTGGAAGGGAGGGGGAGAGACAGAGAGAGACACATGGATGTGAGAGACACATCGATTGGTTGCCTCCCACACATGCCCTGACCAGGGCCGGGGATGGAGCCTGCAACCCAGGTATGTGCCCTTGACCAGAATCAACCCAGGGACCCTTGGGTCTGCGGGCCGATGTTCTATCCACTGAGTCACACCAGCTAGGACTGAAGTCCCCCTTCAATCCCTCTCCAGGAGGCAGGGTCAGCAACAGCATTCACTCCATCGTTCCCGGAGCCGCCGGTTTC